AACCCCAAAACCCCAAGTCTCATAAAACTAATGTAGTATGCTCATTGCAAAAATAATATAAATCCACTATTATATAAATTAATTTAATATTATAATAAGCACTCAGAATAACATGGCTTATGAAAGTTTTGCTCTCCTCACTCCCATATCTTAAATATTCTCTTGGTTGACAGTCGCAATGGGAGTTTTTGTTTTTTATTGCTATTACAAATTCAAAAATACAAAAAAGAATAAGTGTAAGTTCAGTAACTTCTTATCTCTACTAATTAATAATCATATCCTGAATTCCTAAATGCAATAAACTGTGATTATAGATGGTCATATTTTACTTGGACTTATTTCATTTGACATGATAATTGCTATGCACTTCTTGATTGTCATCTACGTAGAAAATCAATTAGATCCAGATAACCCATTCAGAGTATTTATGTGTTAGTTTAATGGATTTCTATCACCCCTAGCCCTCGAGTCTTAATTTGCTTATCACTGCTGTCTTTGCCACTGTATACTTAACATGATCAAGACATTTCAAAATAAGAAGGGAGTTTCTTATATTACTTATCATTTCGGATCCTTGAGTATTGGGTTTTCTTTTGCAATTTTATCAGTTTTTATTTTGTAAGATGTTGGTGTTAGCATTATGGGGGCATGTGCAATGGCTGAGGGTAGCTTTATCGAGTAAATTAAAATATTCTGATAGTTATGTATAGGCTGTTTGATACACCATTGGTTATTTATGGAGCTGTGTATACTCAATATTCTGTTTATGTAATAATCCAAAAGCTGAGAAAAGAAAAAAATCTTTCATAAGATTTGAGGACATTCTTTATCATGCATTGTGTCAATGAATTATTGCTTTTGGTGTCCTATATTCCAAAGTACTATTTAACAACCAAGGTTTAAATTGTTTTAGTGGCTTGTTGCATACTTTTACTTTTTTATTTCAGATGAACAGATAAGATCCTGATCCTCTCCAGAATACTCTCATTGATGTAAGATTCGTATTAACTAAATTTATTCAATAGATTCACAGAATATTTTTACTAGTCTCAGGTCTTGGTAACACATTCGTTAGAGTTATTGGGGATCCATACTTGAGAAGAAAAGTAATAAAAATGCTAAGATGCAAAAAAAGGAAAACTTTTGAAACTCCTGCCATTACAGAAAGCATAATAATGGAAACTGAGGGATCTTTAATGTTGAAAAATTATGAGAATGAGACAGTTAACCTATTATACTAAAATCTTCCCTATCAGCCAAACAAAGATAACAGAGTGCTCACCGAGGATTTGAATATGAATATTAATAATACTACTCTAGATCAATTTTCTCGAAATAACCTTTCCCATTAAAACAGTGCTATCTTAAAAACTAGTATGATTGAAAGGAAATAAAGCAGCATGAAAAAAGGTAAAATTAAATAAGTGCATTGAAAATCTTTTAGAGAGAGACTCTACCATGGTAAAACTGAATAGTAGTCCTACCTATGCTTATTTTTCTGAAGAGCACTTTATAAATGTAATTCAGATAACTTAAACTAATTAGGATCTTAAAAATCTATATGGCTCAATCTGCTATCATTTTAGCATGATCAGGAATAAATCCGGATTGTATGTCAAGAACCATGTTCAATAAAAGATCATGATTTATATTACAATTAATAAGAGAGCAAAAGACACCTTCGTTCATTTCTAGCACTTGAGTATTCGAAATTTGTCATTGCATTAAAAACTTGACGGCTCTATTTAAACACCATCCAGTGCCTAATTCTAGATAAAAAATCAAGAATTTAGATTTGAAGAGTATAGATATAAAGATTTCAAACTTATTCGGAGAGAATCTGGCATTTTAGATCAAGATTTAGAGGATAGCTTCAATTCAATTAGAAATGAAGATATATTTAAGAAGGAACTTAACAAAAAATAAGCTGGCAGAAGTGGAAAGCAAATCATATTCACCTATGACAGAAAATTTATCATTAAAGAAATTGATTCGGAAGAAAAAGGATATCTGATTAGAATTGCTCAATAGTATGCAGAGTATATTAAAGAAAACAGAGATTCCTTATTAGCTAGGATATATGGACTCTTTTCTTTAAAGATTGAGAACCAAAGCAAAGTATATTTCATTATTATGCATAACTTGGATATTTACCCAAAGGATAGTGTGATATTTAAATATGATTTGAAATTTTCAGAGTTTAATCGTCGTCATCTCGACTTTAACGAACTAGATTACTATCGTACTAAACTAATTAAAATTGATGATAACTTTCAAGACTTGATTGAGAAGTCTTGCAGTTAAGATAACACAGAAGAGGATGAGAAAGTTGAATTTTAAAATTCCTAACAATTTGCTGTATCTCCTCCACTTGAAAATATGAAGGTACGTAAAGGTTAAACAAAAGAATTTCCTAAATCTAATACAAAGAAATCTTTTGGCAAAGGCTTGATGCAGAATAGCTTCTCATAGAATAGGATTAAATTAGAGTCTTACGATCTATCTAATACAATGCTATCGCCACAAGATTCCAACAACTTAGGTGGTCATTAATTGAGCTATAATTTTGGATCTACTCTGGAAGAGAAGAAGATGTTCAGTAACATGGCAACTCTTATAAAAAAGGAAAAGAAAAATGATGCGTATATGTACAAGTAACTTCAACTATTGAAAGATATTGATTATAAGAATTTTCACGGCTAGATCTAAATACATTAATCCAGTCATAATACTTACTAAGACTTTATAGTATAAGTTCTCCAAGACACTTAATTTCTGAGCCAGTAGTTTATTATGGACTACTCATTGCTGCTGATGATCCTTAAAGTTGAAAAGATTGAAACTTAAAAGATTCTAAATGAATAAAGGCACAATCCATTTGTCTTTTATACAAGAAACAAGAAGTTCGCAATAGTAGTTGGGATTATTGATTATCTTTAAGTCTTCGGGATAGGTAAAAATATTCAAGAAAAAGCTTAGAAATTTTGGAGTGCATTGAAAAATAAATAAAAGAAGGAAATTTCTTGTGTGGAACCTTTGACATATTTTAACAGATTCAACAGTGGCATCTCTAAATTATTTATCAATACAATAATAGACGAGGCCGATGAGAATGATGAATGTGAAAGTAATTGAAATTCATTCTAAAATAGTCCTATGTAAAGAAGCACTTTGCATGTGAAAATATTTATTAATTAATGAGTCACAAATTTATAAATACCTATGTTAATTTTGTATCTTATTAAATTTATTTAAGATTTACACAATATTTTAAACATATTCTGAGTGGGGTTTTGGGGTTTTGGGGTTTTGGGG